GGCCGCACAGGTAAGTTTTTCCCCTTTTTTTCTGTTTCTGTTTTTATTTAATATATCTGCAACTTTGTTGAATTAAATAAAGTACCTAGGCCACTCCAAAAATCACCAAACTATTCCTGGCCCATAGTTGGATTATTTCCAACATGAAACATTTTAGTTTGGAGATATTTGAGCATTTAAATATTTTATATTATTTTAAATGCCCAAATTCAAATATTTATGATTTAATTCAAAAACCCTAGGATGGCCTAGGAAAATGTGCACCACTTTTGGCAGAGGTTCTGAACCAAGACAAAAATGATGGGCATTTTAGAAGGGCATTTCAGGTTCATTGAAAAAATTATTTTAGTAACCCTAGTTGGTTTCAGAGGGGACTGGGGGTTCTGTCATCCCCATTTCAAGTTTCTGATGAAAAAGTAAACATGATGCAACACTCTAATGCATGACTAACTAGGTTGTGACATAGAAATTCGATCGGTGCATTTTTTTAGAAAAGGAGGAAGCACCCCCGGCCTCTGCATCTGGACAATGCATACGACCACTTTATTAATTATTAAGCACAAAAGACCTTACAAAGTAGTACATCAGTAAGCCTGAAGCCACCATCTAGGCAACATCTGTCGTTACTCCTACCCCCTTGATGCAGTGGTGCCAAATGTCCGAGCCTAATACCAAACAAACATCGCACCAAATCCTAACATCTAATGCCGGATGCCCCATCCAACCACATACCGGGACTGGGTCACACGCCGGTCCGGCGCACTCACCGAGGCTGCCGCCGCCTTCTTCCACCGATCCATCTCCAGAGCAGGTACTGACGCACAGACCTTGCCAGGCCTGCCGTCGACGCCACCATGGCGCCAGACAGCTCGACCACCCTGCGCTCGTCCATCCAGCCGAATCCGTCGTTGATATGCAGCTGCACCATGCTGCCACCACTCGCTGTCAATGACGCGGTAGATACAACGCCGCACCACCTGGCAACCTCCACACCATCGCCACTGCTGGAGCTACTCGGAGCCCACCATCCACAACATCTTTCCCCCAAACAGCAGTTCCTCCCAAGACGGCGCCTCCATGGAGGATACGACGCGCAAGACGCCGCCACCGCCCAATCTAGACTGAATTTTGGACTTTCGTCCGGGAGGGGTTCGGGGGTGGATAGGGGGGACCTCGGCTTAGCCTCCAGGAAGGGTAACGACGTCAAGTGATGTCGCCGATGTCGGGGCGAACACGCCGACCAAAGTTTCCTCCGGTCCCCATCCTATGCCACCAAACCTCCGTGTACTCCGGATCCGGCAAGCCACGATCTGAAACCCATGAAGATGAAAGAGCCATGGGGCTCAACCCACCAGAAAGGAGGATCGAGAAGAACTCATTGTAGATCTCCAGACGCCGAATCCAACGATCCGACGTGGCCAACGACGATCATCACCACCCCGGGGCGGCCGATGGAGTCCGAAGAAAGGATCCAGATGGATCCGATTCGATCGGTGCATATACTATATATTACTGAATAAGTAGTCTTTAATTACTTGGTACATATGCTTTCTTCCGGATATGAATTTAGTTAGTTAGGATTTAGGAACAGTTGTTTCATACATCCAAATGCTAGCTCATATCACAACCTGAGAATAAAAGAAGGTCAAGCGTCAGTCATTGTAGTAGTGAAATTTGACAAGCACTAATCTCGATCACTTGGACAATGGAACTCTGCGATGTATGTCCAAGGGGGGCTAGAATACAAATCGAATCGGAGAAGAGGAAGGAGATGGAGGTGGAAGAGCAGCTGATCGGGACAGCAACGGAGAGGGGCCACGACGAGCTGCCCTTTTTGGCGTGGAAGGGGAGGACCAGACAAGTACGGCTGCTGCTTCCTTGTGCCACCTCGTTAGGGCAAGTCCAGAAACTCGAAAGAGAAGCAGCAGCAAAACATCCTTCCTTCTTATCAATCTATCCCAATGCGATGGGACTGAATAAGATGCATCATCGACTATAGCTGAATGCTCTTCCGATTTGGATAAGCCCAGCCTAGCCCACCCCAGCATCCACATGTTGGTTACCCTACATGTCCCTCAACTTTAACCCGCACAGCAATTTCAAAGAATGGACAATTGGTTATTTCCATCAACTATATAAGTTTATACTTCGTGCATCCTGAATTACTTGTCACAAAAAATGCCTGTCAGCTCAGCTCATGTTGGCTCAACTAGGTTTCCTAGTTTCCTCCCATCAACACAACAAAGAAAGAATATTACACCCAAGATGGAATTGTCAGTGTACCCTACTTCTTCTACTTCCACTTCCACTTGCAGGGTCAAGCTCAAGGAAGCCAAATAATAACTAGACAAAACACCAGACTGAATCACATTTTCAATGCCAGAGGAATCACATAACAAACTAGTAGTATGATAGCCATGAAATAAAATGGCAATGGAAGCAAGCAGCCATCAAGTTTCAAGTACAAAATGGATACGATTTTGTCAATGGAAGCAAAGCAGGTAACACCCAACCATCGAGTTTCAAGTACAAAGTTGACACGACTTTGTCAATGGAAGCAAAGCAGGTAACACCCAACCAGGCAGTTTCAAGTACAAAGTTGACACGACTTTGTCAATGAAAGCAGGTAACAAAGCAGGTAAGATGGCAAATGGAAGTACTGGTACGATAAGCAGCTAGCAGTGTGCAAAGCAGCCAGATCCTGATTCGCGCCTCCACTTTCCTTCATCAAGCGTCACTTTCTTCTTATCTTCCTTCACATCGAGGGCCGCCATTTCTTCAAACAAACAAAAACACAAGGTGAAGGGCGCAAAAAGAACGTGTGCAATGATGGAATACGTTTCAAGTACACAGTTTATAGGAATACCCATATGACAGATAAACAAACAAATATCGTTGGTCGCAAGCGAGCAAGCAACATCTTGTTCTCCCCTAATTCACACCATGGCTCTAACTCATAGCACTCCTCAATTCCCAATTCTTGCAGATTCGTGAGCTCCTGTATTATGTTCTTCGGCAAAGTAATGAGATCAGCGCAGGTTGTAAGCTGAAGTTTTCTGAGTGAGGTAAGTTCCCCTAACCACGGGGGCAGCTGTCTCAGGCCATTACACAAATCCAGTGTTAAAGATTTCAATTGCTTTAGTTGCCTCATGCTATCAGGTAATTCCTCTAGCGCGCAATCCCGAATCTCCAATTGCTCAAGAGATGTCAAGTCACCAAGCCAGTCCGGCAGTATGTCGTAGTATCCTTTCTCAAGCGATGAAAAGCCACCAAGCCAGTCCGGCAGTTTGTCGTATAATCTAGGTTCACCATCCACTGGTTCTTCCAGTTTGAGAGATTTGAAGGACTGGAGAGCCCTGGTGATCTCTGCTGAGCTTGTCAAATCACTACAACGTGTGATGTGCAAATGACTCTGGTCAGGTACATGGTGCAGCAATCTCCACTGATGCAGAGGCACCTCAATGTCTTCAACTGCCAGATTTATAGGTCCTGCTGCAGACGAGGATGAGGAAGCACCATTCTGTGACACGCTCTCTGGCCATGATGTGAGCACATTATCACTTTCAATTATGCTCCAAGAAGCAGCTCTAGGAAGATGTGGTGCAATCCTCAACTTGGGGCATCCATGGATATTCACTTGCTCGAGCATACAAGAGATTAGCTCATTCACTGCAGCCTCGCCACTAAAGAAAGGTGACGTGTCCCATTCTTCAAGGCTGTACATGTCTTTCAACGTAAGCTCTCGGAGGTTTGGTAATTGGTTGATGGGTGGAAGGCTCTCGCAGAAGTGCAAACCAACCAGCTGCAGTCGGACCACGTTGGGCAGATAACTACCAATGCTCATCAGCCAATCTGGAAAGATGTCACTAGCATAACCATGAATAGCAAACAGTTGCAGAGTGCTTGGTGGCACTAGCTCCGCCAGAATCTCGTCGTCATCGAGAGGCACGAAAACCTTTGGATCACTCCACCTTAGTCTCAATTCTCGCATGTTTCGTTTTTCACTTAGCTTTATACTCGCTGCCTGTTCTCAGGGCCACACATTTTGAAGGTCACTTATGTCCAGCTGATCAGGATTCACGTGCTCAAGCAAGCCAAGATTGTTGCTAAACTTCATACCTTCCATTACAGCAAATACAGCAAGTTTGGGCAACATGCCAAAGAGAGTTTGATCATCAAGCTTAGCCATGCACTCTGGAAGACTCGTAATTCGGGAGCACCCCTCAAGGACAAGCTTCCTCAGGAACGTAACACTTTCTGGTATACTAACAATACCAAAGTTATTGAAAGATAGGTTCAGCTCCTCCATGCGAGGAAGATTGCAGATACGGTCAATAAAACCCTCAACTTCATTTGGTGATGGGCTATCAAAGATATATTAAATGCACCTTGCTAGATTAAGATATCTTAGTTGAGTGAGACTGCCAATGATATCTTGCAGCCCTCTAAGATTTTGGCAGGAAGATAGATTCAAGTGCTGGAGTTTGGTAAGCTCAGTCAATGATTCAGGTATTCCGTTAAGACGATGACACCATGCCAGATTCAAGTATATCAACGCCTTGAGCTTCCCAAAAGAGTTTGGGAGTTCTTTTAGAAGACCAATAAGTCAAGATGCATCAGGCTTTTCATTTCACAAATTGATTCAGGCAGCACTGCTATTGTATAGTCATGAAGGTTGAGATAGTTCAATCCTTGGAGCATACTGATACAGCTGAGACTTGGACAAGGATAAATTTGCGGAGCACTAAAATACCTCAAATGCTTCAATTGACCAACAGAAGTAGGTATCTCCTTCAAACAGTAACATCTTAAATCCAAGATACAGAGATTTTTAGCTGCTGCAAAAGCATCTTGAAGGAACTCTGTCTCATCTTTGTAGTCCACAATATGAACTGCCCGGAGCTTTTCAGGAGAAGTCATGCATGACTTCAGTGTCTTTGTACAATCCGTAAGCCATGCATAGCGGCAGTTAGGGCCCGCCAAATTAAATTCATCAGCCATTACAGACCTTGCGAGGTCATGCACAAGGTCATGCATAACGAACAGAGTGTGGCCACCATCCTGAATGCTGTTTGGGTGTCAGCCTGCATGAAAACAATATGCAGTAGTATAAGAATCGGCTCAAATTCTACTACTGACGCAAGGATAGGTTTTGCAATATTGGCAATTGAAAGGAGTAAATATAGTGGATTACTATTAAGCAGATGTTTACCTTGGTTTGAAATTCAGAGGTTAGTCTATTTTCTAAAAGACTACTGCATTTAGAGGTTACCTTGGTTCTATCTCATGTATTGCTTACTTTGTACCGACTTTTTTTCTATATCTATTCTTTGTTTTCTAAACTGCCTTTTTCATCAACAAATATTTATTCTAATGTCTATCAGATTATATAAAACTACAAATAAGATGTAAAATAAGGACTGGAACACCAAATTATTACATGTATTTTATAAAACTACATGCAAATAAGAAGTAAAATTAGAACTGGAACACCAAATTATTACATTTATTTTATAAAACTAAATGCAAATAAGAACTGGAACACAATTATTACATATATTTTTGCATGAATTGGACTAATGAATGATATGTTAATTTTGGGAGCATTCTACCACCAGATTCGGACGTGTTGATGTTGCGATACTGGTTCTCCCACATCTCTTACATTATTTAAAGCTCCATGTTGTGATTGTAGTTGTGGAATTCGGACCAGAGCCATGTGTTCAAAGCCTATAAGGATAGTTATAAGAAGGTGCTGCTGGATTATCACCTTGTTTAATTCCCCGTGGCTACGAAAAGCATGTTTGTATGATCCCTGTCTTTGTTTAACTTTACATGGATGAAGAACATGTTTCATTTCATGGGGTGATTCCATCAAAATTATTTATATTTACACTAACATACCATGATCATTTTTTTTCTATACTAATTTAAGCCTCTGTACGAACCACTATACTGATACACATCATCAAAATTAATTAGATCATGAATTTAGTGGTTAAGATCTAATATCATGGGTAACCTGCTCTAATACAACTCCTTTGATCCCACCATATTTCTCACATTTTGTTTTCAAACTTAATACCCGATGTCATGAGGCCTTGACCTGACTCAAAACGGAAAAAATCGTCCCATCACCCCCACGTACTAAAAGGGCACCCTGATCAAATTCAAAACACAACTGAATGACCACACAAATAAAAGGAAACCCTCCCTTGACTAGACAAGAGTTTCAACCCTCTTCTGCTACAACTTGGATAAAACTTGAGGAGAAGTGGGAACTCCTAAACAATACAATAGAAAAGGAAATACCCCCTGCTTTTCTCAACGAGATAAATATGCCATTAGTCACACTTACCTAAGATGTACACTTTAGTCACACAATTTGCAGCATATTATAATGAGGTCAGATTATGTGCAGCATGGATTAATAGCCTCACCTTTGAATGTTGAAGAAATGACATCTTCAGAAGCTGCACGACATAACTCTCGCCAAGCTGCCAACTGGAGAATGTATCTGATGGTTCGACAAACTCAAGAGCAATCCATAGATGAATAAGATCAGCTTTAATCATCTTGCGGCCCTTTGGAAAGATTCCACAATATGCAAAGCACAACTTCAAGTGTGGTGGCATGATGTTGTAGCTTAAAAGCAATGATCCTAGTACTTCATTTCTGGGCAATGTATCTACAGATGTAGATAGACTCCAAATATCATTGTTGCTGACCCAATTCCATTCTCTGAAAGCCTTGGATTTCAGCATATGTCCAAGTGCTTGAGCACCTAAAGCTACGCCTTTGCACTTCTTTGCGATTTCTCTTCCAATCGGCTCCAGCCGTTCTTGGTCATTTCTTGTATCAAATTTACTTTTTTGCCTTATTATTTCCCAACACATATCATCTGACAACTGAGGCAAGTTATATGGCTGGGCAGTACCGATTTCGTTTGCTATTCCTTCATCGCGTGTGGTAACTACCACAATCACCTTGCACCCTTCCCCCTGCTTCAGCATGGCCTTTAAATCTGCTAGTTGGGAAGGATGGTTCTCCCACAGATCATCTAAAACGATCAAAATATTCCTTCTCTCCACAAGAAGCTTCTGAAGGCGAATGCTAATACTATGCAAATCATCTAGTTGCTTGTCTTGTTTTCCTGATAGCTGTGATATAATAGTGTTGCCAATCTTTTTTAAGTCAAACATCTGGGAAACATATACCCATACCCTGGAGTATCCTTTGAAACAGGAATCATTGTGAAGCAATTTTGCAAATGTGCTTTTTCCAATACCACCAAAGCCCCATATGGGACCGTAGGTGGTTGCATCAGTGCAGCACTCAAATAAATGAGCTAAGAAATCCGACTTTTCCTTTGTCCTCCCAAAAATTTCTGCCTCAATCACATTGCCTGCATTTTCCCGGATATCAGGAAGTTTCATCTCATTGGTGCAGGTTTCCGGTGGAAGACTGTAATTTTTACGATCGTCTGTTATCTTCTGTAGACACTCTTGCATCTTTTTTATCTTTTTTGGCATACTGATCCTCTTCCCAATAGTTCTGACCTGCAAGAGGCATGACTTGATTAGCACCATCGAAGACATGAAAAGAAAATACACACATGGGCAATTTTTATGACGTGATGCTGTTATCTTTTCTTGAATCTTCTTGTAGAATGAAGTTTGTGCAAAAGACTTCGAAATGCAACTTGTATACTTGATTTAGTGTGCTGATATTTTTTTTAAATTGGTCGTGAAAACATACATTTCATTTGCTGTTCCATCTACATATTCTAAAGGGTGTCATTTTCTATACCAGATTATACTACTACCTCCAGTCAAAATTAACTGTGTTTAGTACAAAGTTGTACTAAACAACAACAATTAATTTGGATTGGAGGGAGTACTTGATTTTATTTTCCTACGTAGTTTCCTATAAAATTTACATTCATATGTTGTATTTGTCAAGCAGGTATGACATTTCTATTTAAAGTGAGAGAACACTCTGCTGGATGGATGCACCTTCCATGCCTTAAGATATGCAAGTTTGGTATTCAAAGGTGACTTCATGCTATTGATATGTTAGGATGGGGTGCCTGATTGCTTGCTTATTTGATGGGTGTCCTTTGATATCATCTCTAGAATCTCAACAACAAAAATGATCCATCTTACGGTAGTAACTTATAACAAACAGAAGTTATGATGTATACTAAATTAACTGATTGCAGTCCTATTGTTTTCTACGGTACAGTGATCGGTTCATCATTCTCAACAAAATAAACTATTATATTGCTACCGAAGTCTAAACATATTCCGATCCAACAATTCATATCCTAGAAAAGAAGAAGTACAACATTCAAATTCAGATTGAAGAAGATCAGATGGGCAGAATCTTTGCATACCATATTTGTCTCATCGGATTCGTACTCATTCAGCATGTCTGAGATTTCATACATAGCGTCCTTTAGGCGGTTCACCCACAGAAGTGCCGCTCTATCCGTGATAGACCGTCTCTCGGCATCACTTAGCGCGGCCTCGAGCGACTCCAACGTCATCTTCATCCTCCCTAGGTGCTTGGTGAGGCTCTTGTGCCTCTTGAACTTGCCCATGGCGGCGGAGCCAATCTCCTTGATGACCACCTTGATGATGCCCGAGGCGACCATCCCCCCGACGACTGCTGCCGCCATTGTTGGTCCGGATCGGGCGGATCTGACGTGGACACAAGTTCTCGGAGCCTACTGCAGAGAGAGGAGTCGGTGATTGAGACAAGGTTCGCTGGAGAGAAATGGAGAGGGAGGGGCAGAGACTGACCTGTCTCGACGCCGTCGTGGGCGCGGACGCGGCGAAGGCGACGAGATCTGGACTTGATGGGGTCAAGTGTGAGACTGTGACGCCAACGGAAACCTAGCGCCGCCGACTCTCGCCTCGCCTCCCTTCCTCTTCCCCTGTTCGCCGCGGTGACGGCGGGCCCAACTACCAAAGTCGTCGGGGATTCTGCTCGGGGAGGTGCTACGAGTCGATCCCGCCGGCTTGGGTGGTGGCCGAGGCGGCGGCGTCCGTGCTCGGCTGCGGGCGGCTGACGGCTCGGGCGTCCTGGGCGGTCGGCTGGCG